AACGAAATCCCGACCTTCGGAATCTTATGATGATTTTGTGGGCGCTGGAGGAGGACAACCTCCATCAAGACCACTGCAAGGCGGACCAGGGACTGTGCCAGGAGCTGGACCATATGCTACTGATTCAGGAAACAGAACCTACAGCCAGACATCAGGACTGGGCAACTACCAGCGTTATGCGGATGATTTAGACGATTACCCAGAGGATGGACAATCATATTATCACCGAGGTGGAGCTATACCGGGGGATGGAGCGGGAATGGAGTTAGGAAACAAGCCTAGAAATCGCAATAGTGTGCTTAGTATGAGCGAAGGACTCGTTGGAAAGGCAAAGAGCATGCTTGGAATGGCTCCGCAGTATTCGGAAATGGACTTGCCCTTGACTGAGCCTGGTGGAAGAGTTGGTACAGATTCGCACGAGCCAGAAACGCCGAAGCAACCAGGGAAGAAATTTGATCTAGGAAAGTTCAAATTTGGCTTTGGTAGGGGGAAGCCGGACCCATCAACACTTGGTCCCAGGATCATACATCTCAACAATCCTCCAGCGAATAGTGCCAATAAGTATGTGGACAACCACATATCCACTGCGAAATACAATATCGCAACCTTCATTCCAAAATTTCTCTTCGAACAATTCTCCAAATTCGCCAATGTTTTCTTCTTGTTTACTGCAGCGTTACAACAGATACCCAACATTTCGCCTACAAACAAATACACAACCATTGGACCTTTGATCCTCGTGCTGCTGGTTTCGGCAGGCAAGGAGTTGATCGAAGACTACAAGAGAAAGACGTCGGACAAGTCGCTTAACAACTCAAAGGCGCGGGTCTTGAGGGGGAGCAAATTCGAGGAGACAAAATGGATTAACGTTGCGGTGGGAGATACCGTTCGGGTGGAGTCAGAGGAGCCGTTTCCGGCTGATATCGTTCTGCTCGCGAGTTCGGAGCCCGAAGGTCTCTGCTACATTGAAACCGCCAATCTGGATGGAGAAACAAATCTCAAAATCAAGCAGGCTATCCCAGAGACTTGCGTAATGGTCAGTCTAAATGATCTGAGCAGACTAGGCGGGAAGCTTCGCTCGGAACAACCAAATAGCAGTCTCTACACGTACGAAGCTACTATGACATTGGCCGCCGGTGGTGGGGAGAAGGAACTACCAGTCCAACCCGATCAGCTTTTGCTCAGAGGTGCAACGCTTCGAAACACCCCTTGGATTCACGGCGTCGTTGTGTTTACAGGCCATGAAACCAAGCTCATGCGTAATGCCACTGCGACTCCTATCAAGAGAACTGCTGTAGAACGACAGCTGAACATCCTCGTGCTTATGCTCGTTGGTATCCTCGTGTCGCTGAGTGTGATCAGTTCCATTGGGGACTTGATTGTTCGAGCTTACCACGGCAGAGAGTTGAGATATCTTGGCTATGCTGTATCGACGACCGCATTGAAAAAGGTTCAACAATTCTGGTCCGACATCTTTACGTACTGGGTGCTCTATTCGGCTCTTGTTCCTATTTCTCTCTTCGTTACGATTGAAATTGTCAAGTACTGGCACGCCATTCTGATCAACGACGATTTGGATATGTACTACGACAAAACTGACACTCCTGCCGTATGCCGAACTTCAAGTCTGGTAGAAGAGCTTGGCATGGTGGAGTACATATTCTCTGACAAGACTGGGACTTTGACTTGTAATCAGATGGAGTTTAAGGAATGCTCGATCGGAGGAATACAGTACGCCACTGAAGTGACCGATGATCGTCGTGCGACATTTCAAGATGGTATTGAGGTTGGAGTACATGACTTCGATCGGCTAAAGGAGAACTTAGAGTCGCATGAGTCGGCATTCGCAATACATCACTTCTTGTGCCTCTTAGCCACATGTCACACTGTTATTCCGGAGCGGAAGGAAGATGACCCAGGTGTAATAAAGTATCAGGCGGCATCTCCAGATGAGGGTGCTCTTGTTGAAGGTGCTGTGTTGATGGGGTACCAATTCACAAACCGAAAGCCTAGATCTGTACAGATCACAGTCAAAGGCGTGGAATACGAATATGTGCTCCTGGCCGTCTGCGAATTCAACTCAACGCGCAAGCGGATGTCTGCTATCTTCCGATGTCCCGATGGACAGATCAGATGTTACTGTAAGGGTGCAGATACTGTCATCCTTGAACGCTTAGGTGGTGAAAATCCTCATGTTGAAATCACTCTCCAGCATCTCGAGGAATACGCATCTGAGGGTCTCCGAACGCTTTGTCTTGCGATGCGTGAGATCCCTGAGCAAGAATTCAACGAGTGGTGGAAGATTTTCGATAAAGCACAAACAACCGTCAGCGGTAACCGGGCTGACGAGCTAGATAAAGCGGCAGAGCTTTTGGAGAAAGACTTTTATCTACTTGGCGCAACTGCTATTGAAGATCGTCTCCAAGATGGTGTCCCCGAGACTATCCACACTCTCCAAGAAGCCGGTATCAAAGTTTGGGTTCTGACTGGAGATCGTCAGGAGACTGCAATTAATATCGGCATGAGTTGTAAGCTCATCAGCGAAGATATGACACTTCTCATCGTCAACGAAGAAAATGGACCAGATACTCGGGACAACCTTCAGAAGAAGCTTGACGCCATTCGGACACAAGGGGACGGTACATTCGCAATGGATACCCTGGCTCTCGTGATCGATGGAAAGTCTTTGACATACGCCCTCGAAAAGGAGCTAGAGAAGAATTTTCTGGATCTTGCAGTCATGTGTAAGGCTGTCATCTGCTGTCGTGTCTCGCCCCTCCAGAAAGCCTTAGTCGTGAAGCTCGTCAAACGTCACCTGAAGGCAATTCTTCTTGCTATTGGTGATGGTGCCAATGATGTGTCGATGATTCAAGCTGCTCATATCGGTGTCGGTATCAGTGGTATGGAAGGTTTACAGGCCGCCCGAAGTGCTGATGTTGCCATTGGTCAGTTCAGATATCTACGGAAGTTGCTCTTGGTACATGGTGCCTGGAGTTATCAGCGAGTTTGCAAGGTCATCTTATATTCTTTCTACAAAAACATCACCCTTTACATGACCCAATTTTGGTACTCATTCCAAAATGCCTTCTCTGGGGAAGTCATTTACGAATCATGGACCTTGTCCTTCTACAACGTCTTTTTCACTGTCTTTCCACCTCTCGCCATGGGCATTTTTGATCAGTTCATCTCAGCACGACTGCTGGACAGATACCCTCAGCTTTACCAGCTCGGCCAGAAGAACACATTCTTCAAGATGCATTCATTCTTTTCGTGGGTTGGGAACGGGTTCTACCATTCTCTGATTCTTTACATTGCTTCAGAATGCATTTGGTGGCGAGACCTACCCCAAAGTGATGGAAAGACCGCTGGCCATTGGGTCTGGGGAACGGCTTTGTACACTGCCGTCCTTGCTACCGTTTTAGGAAAGGCAGCTTTGGTAACCAATATCTGGACCAAGTACCACGTTCTTGCTATTCCCGGCAGTATGATGATCTGGGTGGCTTTTATTGCTGTCTACGGAACGGTAGCACCAATGCTCAGCTTCTCTGATGAGTATCAAGGTGTCATCCCAAGGTTGTTCACAAGTCCTGTATTCTGGTTGCAAGGTCTGGCTTTGCCTGTGCTCTGCTTGTCAAGAGACTTCGCATGGAAATAGTAGGTTCTTCGATGGCGACGTAGCTTTCTCCACTAACCTTCTACAGTGCCAAACGGATGTATTATCCACAATCATACCATCACATCCAGGAAATTCAGAAATACAACATTCAAGATTACAGACCGAGGTACGTTGCATCCATAGAACGTGGCCATTGCTCTGCTAACAGATCGCACAGGATGGAACAGTTCCAAAAAGCCATCCGAAAAGTACGACAAGTACAACGTATGCGCAAGCAACGCGGTTATGCCTTCTCTCAAGCCGACGAATCGCAAACCCGCGTACTGCAAGCCTACGATACGACACGCGAGCGTGGTCGCTACGGAGAGATGGCAAGTTCGCGGCCGGAAGGCCGATGATGAAATTATGAGAGCAAGACAGGCAGACAGGGAGGGAATGTGTATGAAAATCTGGGTAATTCTACTGCAACTTTTCTGTTTTCGAGCAATGGGTAGCCCGCAACGTGGGTCGAAGCTGGAGTTTATTATCAGGCTGCTCGTGAAGAGTGTTTAGGAACTGGGTTGTAGTAAATGATCATAGTCTTGCTTTGACAGTATTGACAGTCGAGTGATGATAGCAGCGGATTATGAATGCGATGAAATTTTGCGCTCTTTCGTTGCACTGGATTGACATGAAGGAGGTCTTGTTAACAGATCTGCCTTGACAATTTCGTCGTTATTAGAGAAAATGCTTAAGGATTAACCTGTTAGTACGAGGCGAGGGAAATTCGACTTCGGCGAAGTGCAAACCTGCCCATCGGCACAACTGGGTGTAATTGACCATCGCAAGTCGATTTTAATGTCAAAGATGAATCTGTCGACATTATACAACGTAATAGTTCAAAGTCAAACAAGCTTTTAATGACTTTCTTGTAAGTTATATTCTTAGATGACGAATGTATAATGAGCTTGCAAATGTGCAACATCGCTTTGCTGGAGACGCATTTCCTCAGTCTCGATATTTGTTGCTAGATTTTTTTGTTCTTCATTGACAGAGAAATTGCTTCAGGATTGACATGTTAGTAAGCAAGCTCCGGGATGTTCGGGGCGGGCGACTGGGTATCGATGCTGGAAAGAAGTAGCCGATCGAGGCAAACTGGACTGACTGTCCGCCACCCTTGAAGATTTTAAAGTCACGTACCTTCACCTGATTTTTATAGGGACGTCGCGATAATCACAAGAGACTTTGATATGGAAAGGTATTATGTAAACTAGGTGCTTTGATGAGGACAAGGCTGAGCTTCGCTTGAAAGGACGCTATCACGTTCTCCGCAATAATTTTCTTTTGATATATAAACAAATAGCGCCGTTTGGGGACATCCCTGTCAATTCAGAGCTTATTTCTGGGACCGCTGGCGCAACTGGCAGCGCGTTCGATTCCAGATCGAAAGGTTATCCGTTCAAATCGGGTGTGGTTCAAGGCCACAATGCGAAGAAGCACTTCTTTTGCCGCTTTCTGCACTCTTTTTGGTGGAGGTAATTGAAGAGTTGAATGAAGATAGTCGCTTCTGAGGGACTGGCTATCAATGTTTATTGATAAAAAGTGGCTGATGAAGGCGGACTGGACTCCTCCTCGCCATAGGGGAAATATTAATATTACGAAACTATTTGAGAACTTCATTTGATTATAATAGTAATGTCACGAAAACTACCTACATTAGACTCTGACGTGAAGAGTAAGTAGTAAAGCTACGCAGTAGTTGTTCGATAGCTGCTTCCAAGTGATTAGTTAATGTATTCCCCAGATTCAGCCACTTACTTCTAATAATAATAGACTCGCTGAATTAGAAGGCAGTCGAGCACCTGAGCCAAAATCGAAAGCTGACTATTCAAGAATGAATGAACATTTTATTCATCGACCCGAGGACAGAAAGAAAATTTTAAAAATTCAGCATAGCATTGGGAAAGGCTTCAAGTTTATAATCATGTTCTTTTTTTTCTTTTTCTTTTTTTTCTCAACATATCCGAGCTCTAGAAATTCGAATAATTATTATCTCGTCCTAACACAGTCACACAGTCTATGTTATTCCCGGCCACCTTTGCCTCCGACGCAGAATGGGAGAAGAGGTGGGCCGAACTTTTGCCGCTTGACGAGGGATGTACAGGCACGTGCAAATAGCAGAGGGATCATAGCGTGACTTGAGAAATACAAATTTTCCGACTGTCCTGTTACCAGTTGCTTCCATTTGCTCTGCATTTGCGTCTCTCCCAACTCCCTTGCATCTTGGATCCCTTCCTTGTCCGGTCCACCAGTTGACTCGTGTGCTAGTGCCAACGGATTAGACTAGACTTCTCACCAAGTCATGCGTACTGAAGTTCTCGGTCTCGTCACAATACCAGGTGGTCATTCAGCGACCTTTCCCATTTTCGAGATGTTTTTCGGGAGTTCAGGTGATAGCGAGTTATCTCTTTCTGGCTGGTTCGCGTTCTATGGTATTGAACTTTACAGGATCGTGTCACGCATCTGGAAACCTTCAGCATTTCCTCCTTCGCTCATACCAGATGTGTAGGCATACAGTATGCCAAGTGCAACCTCAAGTCCACGTGACTAAACACTCTGCGAACGACACTCAAGCTCGCATCCTACAGAAGGAGAAGAAGATGTCTGAGTTTCAATATTATCAGGCTTAGTTGTTATAAGCGTTCGCAAGTGCCGAGAGAATAGTCAAATCGGAGGATTCGTCAGACTTAAAACACAGCGACAGTCTGAGGGTCCAGACTTGAGATCGAACCGATCTACCTGAGTTGGGATTTGTTTCCAGCAACAGAGAGCGAGGGATCCCTTTCTTAATTTCTCCTTGGGAACTTACGACTCTGACTATAGCCTATCGAGGCGTTGACAATGTTAGCGGCGCTTGTCTGTTGATTTAACGGTGAGAGAAAGTAACTAGATTATGGTTTCTATTGGTCGCACGGCTAAGCTCCTTTGATCGCTTCGTACGAAGATCTCCCACCACTTCCGGTCAATACCTTTACGTCTAAATGCAACTCGTGTGATGTGATCATCACGTGATACAACTCACGCCATGACTTTGTTTCACGAAACTATTCTGCGACGACACCGTTGCAATGATCAAGTACCCGAGCGCTGGCTGCTACATCTAGCCAATCTCATTCCTGGATTTTGAATTCGAGAAACAACCTATGGCGGGCTAGACTACATCTCGAAACGAACCTTCTCAAAATTCGGAAACATATTCTTAAGGAAATCTGGGAGTTCCCTTGGATGCTAAGCCTTCAAAACCTTCGACGACATCTTGCTGACTCTTACAACATGGATGAGGCTAGTGCCAAGAATTAGCCAGGTCGAGATGAGTGCTCTGGATCAGAATAAGCACCTTTCTATCTCTTTGGCTGCTAGCTTTCACTAGCAAGAAACTTTCTTGTTATATTATCTGTCAGGCGTGTTTCTTGAAGAACTCTATATCTTGGTACATGATTCGTTACTAGCTCCTATTTTGTCTTCTGGATAGCCTTTCCGGAGTCGTCATACAGACTTTGTGGCAGTTGTAAGGATTCCGATGGCCACATAAAGGTGCACCCAGTTCCCAGAATGTCCCTTTCTCCTTAGCCGGGCTCATATTCAATTCGGTATACCCAATATTTCGAGAACCAGTCTCATACTTTTCAACCTCCCATTTCCATCCGATCTCCCTAATTCTTAGGTTAATTTCGTAATCATGAGGTACCCATCACCGTATATCGCCCTGTTCGTGGCTACGGCCATTCTCGCTGTGCCTCTCAGCACCCAACCTGGAGCTTTACCTCCATCTCTGTTAGTCGATGATGGAGCAATTTCGTTCGACGGCAAATCCGGAGACCAAGTCGCCAATCTGATGAATACAGTTCAAGGCGCAAGTGTCAATGCAGCTACCGCCAACGATCTAGCTATACCAGTTGTTTCTGCTCGGCAAGCAGCTTCTGTTCCAGCTGCTCCAGGTATTGAGTTTTACGACGATGATAAATCAGTTCCGGAAACGGGCAAGGTCGTCGATTTTCGCGCTGAATCGGTCGAGGGATTGACTACTGAGGAGAACAAGGTTCTTGAGAACGCACATGAGGATGCCACTACCACCGACAATACCAAGCGAGCTTTGACAGCCGAAGAGCAGGAGAAACTTGATGATGAGATTGACTTTCAGGAAAACGCTAAGCGAGGTTAGTTCAAAGGTCTCGATTATTATCCTACTCAGAGTCTAGCGTACCGTGTTACAACTGAGCTTCGCTAATTCAATGGTGTTCTAGCTATTGTTCTAAAGTCTAGGCAAGCACCAAAAGAAGCTGGTGCAAACGCTCAAGCTGGTGGCAAAAATGCAGCTGGCGCCGCTCCTGCAGCACCGGGTCAAAATGGACAGGGCAATAAAGGACAGGGTAACAAGGCACCGGGCAATAATGGCCAAGGTGCGGGCAATAATGGTCAAGGTGCCAAGGCTCCAGTGGGAAACGCTCCGGGTGGAAAAGGTGGGAACACTCCGGGCGGAAACACTCCAGGCGGGAACACTCCAGGCGGGAACGCTCCGGGTGGGAAAGGTGCGAACACTCCGGGTGGGAACACTCCAGATGGAAACACTCCAGGTGTGAAGACTCCGGGTGGAACCGCCACAACTCCTGGCAAGAACGCACCTGGCGCCACTCCTGCTCCACCAGGTCAGACTGGCGCTGGCAACAAGGGACCGGGCGATAAGGGACCGGGAAAGAAAGGAGCAGGTGATAAAGGAGCCGGGGACAAGGGAGCGGGTGATAAGGGAGCAGGTGACAAAGGAGCCGGGGATAAGGGAGCTGGCAAAAAGGGAGCAGGAGGCAAGGGGGCAGGCGGCGGTAACGCACCGGGTGGCGACCCTGGAGCAGGCGCTGGCGGTGATGCTTCAGGAGGCGGCGGCGATGCTTCAGGCGGTGGCGGCGATGCTTCAGGAGGCGCTCCACCTAGCCCAGGCGGTGGCGGCGGTGGTGATGCTTCCGGGGGCGCACCTCCTAGCCCAGGCGGTGGCGGCGGCGGTGATGCCTCAGCAGGTGGATCTTCTAGCTCAGGCGGTGATACTTCAGGAGCTACTTCTCCCAGCCCAGGTGGAAGCAGCTCTACCCCGGATACAACTGCCCCTACGAGCGGCGGAGACACATCTACAAGCACTGATACTTCCTCAAGCACTGATACTTCTTCCACAACAGACCAAACGGACACCACTGGCTCTGCGAGCGGTAGCGATACTTCCTCAAGCACTGACACGTCCTCAACAACAAATGGAACGGTCACCACTTACCCTGGGAGCAGTGGCGGTAATTCTACAACAACTGGCACTTCCTCTACAACAGATGGAACGGACACCACTGGCTCTGCGAGCGGTGGAGACACGTCTACAAGCACGGACACTTCCTCAACAACTGACACTTCCTCGACCACAGATGGAACGAATTCCACTGACCCTACGACCGGCGGGGATGGCACCACAACCAATGACACTCCCACAACAACAGATGGAACCGATCCTGGGAGCGATACAAATACACCTACACAGAGCTCTCCTACTTCACCAGGCGGTCGTCCTAAAGCGAGCGGTCGCGCTAGGCCAAGTGCTCTTCCCAAACGTCGCCGACTTTGAGAAAAGCCAAATGTATGGACGTGTCTCTGCTACTTACTATATCAACAATTCTCTTTTTAACTTCTAGACTTAATCAAACATTAGTTCAATTCATTTCCACAAATAAAAGTTCCATTTGAAAAGCGCATGAGAAGGTTTCAACGCATTCTGATAACTCACTCGGCCAATTTGTAACATTTACTTGTTATGGAGAATGTGAGTGCTGGTTGAATAGGCTTTTAGTTTTTGGTGGCCATGTTCTGCTTCTCGCTTAACGTTATTGACTTTCTTGGCGAAACTTCTGGTTTCGCACTAGCGTCGCAACTTCCACGCATTCTACTGCTTTGTTGTGACTCTGCTTCAAGGCCCTGTTTAGACCGAGAAGCTCATATTTAATGGCGTTGCCAAGCGAGTGTTTCTAGATTTTAACGACGCCACAAACGTGAAGCCCGGCGATGGACACGACTACGGGAAGAAGACTGGTTGTTCTTTTCGCTCACAAAGCTGTTCGTGTTGGCTTCGTCATCATCCTAAGCGAAACTGTCCGAAGAGTACTTGTGGAGCTTGAAAATACGTAAAGGTGACATCCACGTGCCCGTCCACTTAGTTTTCAGTCTTCAATAATGACAAAAGAAAGTTTTGCCAAGCAAATCCAGACATCATTCTTTGCTGGTCGTGATGACTTTGCGAACCTCGCTATCGTTCATCGGGCTTATTGCATGCCTCGTTTCGATGGTCCGTGGCGATGGTACAAGCCTTATATCATTTATTGGATGCTATTGTGTAATCCTACTTTATGCATTAGTGCGTAGATGTGCAGTCTGGAGTCAGCCGCTAATATAC